CCACGAGGAGGCCACCCTGGGGGCGTTTCTCATCTGTGAGCTCTGCCAGTGTGTGAGTACCCAGTGGCAGAGGGGCGTGGCCGAGGCCATGACAGGGACGTGGCCGAGGCCGTGACAGAGGGGCGTGGCCGAGGCCGTGACAGGGACGTGGCCGAGGCCATGACAGAGGGGCGTGGCCAAGGCCGTGACAGAGGGGCGTGGCCGAGGCCTGAGGCTGGCCCTGCTGCTTGGGGCAGGGTCTCTGCTCAGCTCGCTTGTGTCAGGGGTGCCCGCTGGTAGTTTAGAGAGAGTCACTCCCCAGCCTTGGCACAGGAGCCCCCCCGCCCATGCCCTCTGCTCAGCGGAGACGTGCTGCGCAGTGACCTGCCCAACACGGGCTTAGTCCACCTCCCAGGACACAGGCTCCAGGGAACGCCTGGTACTTTGCCTCTTCCCCTTGGTGGACACAGCCCTGCTTCAGCGAGCAGAGCACGGAGCTCTCCTGGATGTGGTGCGGTCGGAGATGTGCCCCACGTGAGCCTGGAGGCTGCCAAGGGCGCTGTGTCCGCCGTCCACCCCTGGACTTGGCCTTCTGCACACCTGCCTTCCCCCGTGGGCCCTGCGTGTCCCCCTTGCACAGAGGGGCCAGGGGCACCCCAAGGCTTCTGTCGCCACCCTGCTGTGGCATGGAAGGGCTGGGCTGAGATGAAAGGACCTGCCTGAGGAGAGCCCCACGCACCGTCCCGCCTCTGCCTCTGTGATCTGTGATTTGATCAGCTGTGAAAAACAGGACAGCTTCACCGAGAGAAAACGGGGTTTGGAAAGCCCAGGAGCCAGGCGGGCTGGCGCTGGGAGAAGCTGCCGTGTGGCTGCAGGCGCCTGCGCTCTGCCCACCCAGCATGGCTTCTGGTCCCCGCATGCCTCCTGGTCCAGTGTGGATGTTGAAGCGCCAGGGATGGTCTTCACGATCGCCTGGCAGGAGAAAAGGCCACGGGGAAAGTCTCGTCCCAGAAGTTGTTGTGTGATTTCTGCTTGGGTCACGTTGGCCAGAGCTGAGTCACAGGCCACTCCTTGCTTAGAGGCGCTGGGTGCTGTCCCCGGCTGGGGACCAGGGTCAGTGGAGATGGCGAGTAACGAGCTGCCAGTGCCAGGGCAGGTGTGCTCAGGAGCCGGGTCTGCTCACTGCAGGGCAGCAGCCCTCAGCCAGGGGCTCTGGTGGATGGAGGCCAGGATGCCGCCAGGACGCTCCAGTGACCAGGCTGCCCCCACCACAGGGCATGGGTCAGGGTCCTCTCTGGGTCTCTGGGCACCGCACCTTTCCCTGCCCCCGTTTGCTCGCTGGCGGTGAGGGCTGGTCGGCCCCGCTGTGCGCGTGTGTGGGCCTGAGTCCTGGCCTCCAGGTCTCAGTGCTGGGCGCCTCTCAGAATCCAGCTCCACGCTCCTCCCGGCTTCAGGTTCTGTGAGGGTCGGTGGGGAGGTGAGGGCCTGGGGCTGCCCAGGAAGCTCTCCCCTTGCAGCCTCCAGCCATCCTGGGGAGGCAGCAGTGGTGGGGTGAGGGCCTGCCCGCCACCCTGGTGTTTGCTGGCTCAGGCCTGGCGTTTCCCTGGCGACCCAGGTGTGGGGAGCAGACAGGCGGGAGTGGGCAGGGCCCTCACCACGGCGCTGTCCTGGCGTTTCCCTGGCGACCCAGGTGTTGAGGGCAGACAGGCGGGAGTGGGC